CGGCCTCTTCTTCCTTCAACTTGCGAGCGGCCTCTTCTTCCTTCAACTTGCGAGCGGCCTCTTCTTCCTTCAACTTGCGAGCGGCCTCCTCGGCCTTCCGTCGACGGTCTGCCGTTTCTTTCGCCCACTTGCGAGCGGCCTCCGCCGCCAATGTCATGGCTCGCCGCTCACGTTCCGCTGCTGTTCTCTCCGCCAACTTTCTCCCGAATTCAACGTACATGCCCTTCATTGAATAGGGGACGGGGTCCCCTCCAGGATCATTCTGGAGCCGAGGATGCCGTTGGACGAGCTCTTTCACGATTTCATCCATAGTAGAAGAAACGTTAGAGATCAGGACATTGGGCGGTGGAAACCATAACATCTCTCGCTTCGCAGACATTCGCTTCGTTTTGTCGGTGCAGATCCATTGTAGGAATGCTGACAGTTCAGGATACAAACCGAGAGAGAGAGCACCGAGAGCTTCGTTACAGAATTTAAAACAGTCGATATCATTGCGATTTGGATGATCTGGCTGGGCATAAGATTGGCGGAGACGATCTGACTCGACGAGTTTATTCCGGACTCGTCCATCGAAGCACGAGTCGACCGTCCCTTTCCATGCGTCAAAAGGGCGGGGATCGTGTTTCAAACCACGGTCGAAATCAAAGATCTTGATTCGGTATTGATAATCCGGTATGAAGATGGTAGTCGGGTTTCCATCGCGCCCGACATATTCGTACCGCTTGGAGCGGCCAGAGCTCGTCGTGTCGCTCACCACGAGAATGTTATTCAAATGAAGGTCCAGATGCATGATTCCAACTCTGACCAAGCACTCGATTGCAAAGAATACTTCGATAAAGGCACAGAATGCTTGCTCTTGATTGAGCTTGCCTGATGTCAATGCGTTGAACAGCGTCATACCGTCTATGAATTCTGTCGCAAACGATCCCCGTGAGCCGAGATCGTTCTGAGGCGGGTATTGGCCTCTCTTCGCATAAAACTTGCTCACGAGCTGCCTAATGTCTCCCTCTTCGTCGTGCACGTGTTGATTTGCGTTGAGATACGAGACGCTCGG